TGGTACTTGAACATCCCATGTGTATGAAGTCATTCTTTTGATCAGCAGTGTCAGTTGGAGTAATGCTTATGCTTTAGATCTCCTCCCACCCATGGGCATGAAGGAAAGAACAGGCCAATCCATATCCCATTTTCTTCTTAACTGCCTGTGGCAGAAGGATACAATCCTTGCTTATTGGTGACTCTCCAGCAGTTAGTGATTTATATTGTATAGCAAGCTTTAAGGCTTCCCATTTTTCTCACCTGGCCATTATGTCATGCAGTGATGGACATAGTACTTTTGTGTTTAAATATATCCCTGAGGGCACTGTGACCACTGAAAGTGAAACAGCTTTCAATATAAACCTACCCACCATCTGTTCCTGTGCTATTAGAAGTTGTCTTCTGCTTGAAAGCATGGCAGGAGCTTTGGTAACTGCCCTCCCTGCCCCACTCCCTCTCCCCCCCCCCCCATGAAGCAATACGCATGCCCAAGACAGAGTTTATGGCATGTGTCTAAACATCACGCTAAGGGTGATTACATAACATTTTTTGTGGTTTGATTCACTGTAGTTCTAGTAAGGATCCTTTGATAGTGTAGAAATATTTGATTCATGAGAGAGAGGACTCCTCCAGGAAAAAAAAAACCCTGTACTGCTAAGTGGAAGAGATTTACAACTTGGTGTGACATCAATTATATCCCTTTATTGCACGGATCTCTGCTGTATTGGATAACTTTCATGCTCTAACTGATTAGTCTGTTAAGGTATGCCTGACAACCACTGCTGAATATCCCTCTCTTAATTAAGGCTGTGCAGTCTTTCCCAACATGGTATGACTTTGTTCTTTGGAGGCCACAACAAAGAATTGGAGAATGATTGTCCATTGTTTTCATCCCAGAAATTATATTTATTGGTTTTAAGGTGTGTGAAACTATTGACAGTTACACTAATTTAGACCCTCAGATATTAATAAAGCCCATTCTATCAGGGCATAGGCAGCCACTACTTCTTCCTAGGAAAGTATTTCTCTTTTGGTCATCTGTAAAGCAGATACTTCAGTTGCATGCCATATTTTACCAAGTGTTCTTCCATAGAAAAAAGTATCCAAGGCTGACGCTGATTTGGGCAGAACTATGCTGCAGTACTTAAGTGGACCCTAAGCTACTGTCTCTTTATATTAGATTGATAATGACAGGTCTTTTTGGCTGTTGGGCTGGATGACTGGCGCCAGGTCTGCCCAGGGGCCGGATCTGGTCTGTGGGCCTGATCCAGCATGCAGTGCTGGCCTAGTTAGGGCCCAGTGCAGGCACATGGAAACAGCCTGCCCAAGAACTGATGCGGTTCCCTCATCACCAAATTTGTGGACCCCTGGCAGATTTACATGGGTCCATGGGCTGGGGAGTTGAGCACCCTGTATTAGTTTATTGTAATATAATTAGAATTTGGGTTGACACACATCTCAGAGTACTCTGATTATTGTAACTTCTTACTCAACAGATCTCCTTGTTTAGTTCCGGACTCTAAATGAAATGTTTTTTCTATTGTTATACCTTCAGAGTTGATATGATTTTGACCTAGATTGTTTTCTTTGTAGAAAGGTGCAGCTGACTTGCTCTGCAGACTTACCTGCTTATGGATTATCAATAAACAACACGATATGCCTTTAAGATCTTAGATTAAATCTGAAGTCACTACTTAGAGAAAAAAAATCTTTTGTTGTTGTTGTCTTCTGTATGCTATTTACTTGTATGTTACTCAGAATTGATGTAGAATCAGTAGGGATGCTTTAAGCTTGTAATGCTATTTTTAGAGTTACTTTTCAGTGTAAAACACACTTTAAAAGAACTCTGAGAAATATGGCTTCCTAATAATAGCAGTAATCATGAACATTTTTCTGCGATGTAAATCAGTTAAACAAAATAATTTGCTTTATAGAAACATTTTATAAATAATTATGAAATATTGAAGTTTTTAAAGAAATGTTAGTGTTCACCCATATGATTCTTCCTAAATGTCACAATAGAGCACAAGTAGGAAATTAACAATGAATTATATAACTGATCTTGAAATATCTATATTTGTGATTACTTTCAATATTCTGATTTTTAATTGATCATATTGGGGGTTTCAGTTTTTTGACTTGATGTTTGATCATATCCATTTGATATAATAGTTATGCAGCTTATTACAAATTATTATTTGGGAGCCATGGAGGTTATACAGTAGACCAAGCTATTTTTAAAAACTGTCCTTCTGTTTAATATCTCCTTTGTGTTTGTCTTGAGTGAAAACATTAACTTTTTTTTAAGTTTATTTACCATATGGTCATATTTGATTTAAATAGAATTTTGGACAGAAGATTGTGTAGGTAACTATGAACTTAGTCCTTTGCACTTGTTTATTTACTTTGAATACAACATAAAGTTAGCTTGTTTTGGATTTTCAAAGAAAATAATTATATCTATTTCTTTGTAGTCAGTGCTTTACTGATTTTATTTTCATAGTTATTTTCTGTACGTATATCTTAGCTATTTCTGTGAAGTGAGTAGGAAGATCTGTGTGGTATCTGAAACTTTTGAGTCACATTTTAATCATGCAGGCACATGTATTTAGTCCACAAAGCACAAGACTTCTTTTTACGCAGGCAAGTGATTTGTTTTTAGATACTGTGGTAAAATTTTTAGTAGTGCTTGGCTTTGATTTTTTTAACAGAGATATCAAGCAAAAGGCTGAAAATCTAGAAGATCGCTTGCTGATAGTTAAATAGAAACTAGTACTGATTACATGTATTGTGGCTTTGCCAGCAGCAACTTTTTAAAGAGAATTTTTCTTACCAGAGCAAACTTTGAGGGGCATTGATTTGAAGCATCTGTTTAAAGAATAATTGTCACAACTGTTTATTTATTTATTTTGATGCATATAATTAACAAAGATTATTAGTTTGCCTTCAGTAACAAAATTTGTTCTTCCCTAGTCTAACCAACTTGATCTTTAAAGTAAACAGTTTGTTAAATTTGTTTTGCAGTTCTTATGCAAATCTGTAATGCCACAAAAACAAGTTTGTGACTTCATTCCTGAATGAAGCAACATTTTGGTTATGAGAGATTAAAAAAATGGAAAATTATTGCCAAGTTGCAGGGAAAGCTGGTACTAAATTAACAGTCCAAGTTTCATTGTAAGCAAGCTACAAACTTTGCTCACAAATAGTTATGTGTGCATTCCATTGGAGGAATCAGTGGCAGCAGGATTTCACTTTTTCACTTTTCAGAGAGATTTTCACAGGTGCATCTGAGTGCAAAGTTATTTGTAGGATAACTGGCGGGCGTCTTTGATTGTTTGGAAATAAGCCAGAATAATATATTGAAGCTGGATTTGTGCTTCTGTACTTCAGTTTCAGAAGTAAGGGCTTGTTGCAGGTAGAAATGTAGATACCCATTAAATATTAATTTAACCTGTTGTAATTACAACAGATTAAATGATTAATTGGTATGGCAGCCCCTGGCCTGGCTGACATGGGGCTGCTTCAGCTTGGCCTATGGGGTGCCCCTGCCGCCAATGGAGCACTTCCAGTCGCCCGAAGTCTGGTGGGGATGCAGCAGCTCCTCAGGGCCTAGCCCCACAACAGACAGGGTGGGAGGCTGGGTCCTATCGGAGCCCAGGTCTGGGCAGGGTACGCCATGGGGCTGAGCCACAGGCCCAGGGGAGTTGCCCTGCACACTCTTGTTTTCTATGTTGCCTTGCCAGGCCCTGTGGCAGCTGTAGCAGTAGAAGGCACTGCACTTGGCATGGCGTGGTAGTGCTGGGCTCCAACCCGTAGCTCTTTGAAGTCAGACTGGGGGGGCGTGGACAGACTGAGCCCTGGGCCTGCACCTGCCCTGCCCTAACATGGAGAAAGGGGTTGCACCCAGTTGCCCAGAGCAACGTGGGGAGCAGGGGGTCCAAAGAAGCCCTGCCTCATAGGCAGCACAGCCCAGGAAACCAGTAAGGGCCTGCAGCCACTGGTGCTCATCTTCCCAGGGCCAGCTGCAGCAGCCAGCAAGGGAGGGAGGAGCTGCCTGCTTCCCTCCCCTGCACCCTCCTGCACTGCTGCAGCTGGCCCCAGGAAGCCATGTGTTAGTGGCTGCAGACCCTCACTTCCTGGGCTGTTCTGCCTGCTACAGAATGTGGCTTGTAGACCTGCTTGTAGACTCACTGTCACCTGCCATAAACAGTCTGGGCTCAAGGCCAGGTCCCTGCCACCTGTCAGAGAGTCCGTACCGCCTAACTATTAGGTATTAGTCACACCTCCTTCTCCCCTATCCCCGTTCCTCCTCTTTGCTCCTCCCTCCCTCCTTCCCACCCTCTGCATGGCTTAGCTTTTAGGTATTAGTGACCCCTCCCCCATGCCACTCCTCCCTCCCTCTGCGCCTAGCTTTTAGGTCTCAGTCACCTTTCCCTGTTTCACCCCCTTGCCACCTCCTTTCTCGTTTTGTTCCCTCCTGCCCTGCCACCTTCTGGTTCCTGCTGGGGCACAGCGGGGCTTCCCTTCTAACTCTGCTTCCCTGCCAGACTGTGCCCGCCCCTAGCTAAGTGATAACCAGTAAACTAGAATCAGTTACTGCGGAGCTCATTGGTTAAACCAGGGGCAGGCAAAATGGTGGATCTGGCAAGCAGCCAGATTCCATTTCCCAGCAGCCCCTACTCACATATCTGTGGCCAGTTTCCATGAAGAGCCCAGGAGTGGTGGGGCCAGGATTTTGCAGTGGTGACAGCATGGGCTGGAGCCAGGGCAAAGCCGAGTTTTGCTGCCTGTATGCCCTCCATGCAAAATTCTGGCCCCAGAGCAGCTTCCTGCCCAGCCACTTGCCTTGCTAGTGCTGTTTGAGCCAGTCTCTGTGGAAAACCTGCCCACCTGCATGCCCTGCCAGCGCTGCTTGGGCCGTCTCCATGGCAGTCCTAGCCCCACACTGCCACGGTCCCACAGCTCATGGGGTCTCCATGGAAACTGGCTATAGCAACATGGGCAGGGGCTGCTGGGAAATCAAGTCTACCACAGGCCAGATCAGGCCCATGGGCTGGACTCCGCCTGTGCCTGGGTTAAGTGATTAATTAATCACATCCCTAGATATAGGTATGGTTGGTAATTAATTAGGGCTAAGCTCAATTTCTGTACACTTAACTAAATTGCATTCATACAGCACCATTCTTAATATGTATTAACTGGTAGGAAAGTATCTTTTATATTGTTGTTTGAAAACAGTTGGGTCATGGATCCTTACGTCACAAGTGTACTGTCATTCATATGTGCAGTTTTTGGTCCTGTGAGTGTCATCCCAAATGCCTTAGTATCCCTCCAGGACCAACATTTATCTTTACATATACATATTCTCTTTATCGCTCTGTTGATGGGTTGTCACTTTATTACTTGATTGTTGTCATGCAGCTAGGTTAGGCCTTTTTACCATTAGCTAGCATGACTACTATAATGCTGTACAACTTCCCCTCCTTCCCACCCAAGATGTTCAGAAGACTTGGATTTCTTTGCCCTTTGCGGGAAAGGTGAAGGTTCAGGAAACTCCAGAGAAGAAAAATTGCAACAAAGATCATTGCAGTGTTGCTAAAGGGATGGCCAGCTGGTATCACAACCTGGATGCCCTGTAATTTGAGACCAGAAATAAGAATCTGAAATTGTCTTAAAAGAAAGCTAACCAGAAAAAACTGGACCCTAAGCAGTACTCCTGTTACGTGTATAAGAACTGAGGAGCCAGACTGAAGTTTGTCACTGTATGCCACTTTTGAATCAGTTTGGGGCAGACAGCACTAAGGCAACTGAGAACAGCAGGAGCTCTGGGTCTGACTTGAAGTCTGATAACGAAGACTTGCTTGAAAGCCAGGATTTCTTTAAATTGCAAGATTTTATGTGGATACTAAGCCCGTAAGAAAATCAAGACAACACTGGTAAGCACACCAGCTTCCCAGGCCTGGAAAAGGGCTTTTACCCAGTAAGTATCGTTCTTTTGACTGACTTAAATTAGCTTTAATTAAAAGTAGCTGGTATTCTATTCCATGTTATACACTGGGCACCACTGTGTTGGACAGGTGTGTGTATAACCTGAGTTCCATCTTCCCTTCAATATAGGTTCAAAATGGCAACTGCCACATGATGGCCCAGTGAATCCTACCATGCTCCTTCAAAACTTTTCTGCTACTATCATCACCTAGAGAGCTCCCTACCTTTCATTCTTAAATCCTTTTTCTATAGCAGCATTCTTCCCTCCCCCGTGGGCTTACAGAGTGACTGCATGAAGGGTTGGATTGAAAACCACATTGCTACGGTGAGAATTTAGTTGCTCACTTTTCCTTAAAGGTCTGGCTGCAGGCCATTGTCCTTTTCTCTTCTTTTTTCCCTTGTGTTCTCAAGAAGACAATCTCACTGCGTTTCCTTGGGCTGCTTTAGACTTGAGAAAAGAAAACCTTATGATAGAAATGTGTCTGAATACAGTGCAAACTAGGAATTGTGTTCGAACTGTGAGATACGTATAGTAATTATCAGTGCCTCTTTTTTTAGGCTGCAGCCTTCATAAGATGTTATGAGGTGTTTCAAAGCATTGTGTATAATAGCACTGTATGAGGTATTTTCTTTGCATTTTTTTTCAAGTACAAAGCATTGCATCTCAGCAATAGAAATATAGTGGAAAACGCTTTTTTGTAGTGCGCTACTTTTACTAGCAACATTTTACTGGCAAATAAATTGTTCAAGAAACCTGAGAATGCATAGCAATTGCAAGGCACCAATAAGATGATGACCAGAACACAACTAACCCAAAAGGTTTTGAACAGTCATTGCAAAACTTTGTTTTGCATATCTATAGAAGATGCAAATATGGAATCTTAGATATAGAAGTTGGAGAGAGAGATATGGAAGGTGCAGATACAGAAGTTTCCTATTATGGCTCTAACAGTGCAGGGTGGAGCTGTCGTGTCATTTGTTCCATTCAGAACATTGGGCAAAGGACAATTCTGGTGAATAAATATTGATGCATATCTTGCTGGGCCCTACTTATCTTTCCTAATAAGAGCTTTTTTCTGCTTCTTGGTCACATGAAACAGCAGTTTGCCCTGCAGCAATAAGCAATGCCCACGTAGGTGCAAATGTAGTTAGTTATTAACGTGGCCAACTTGAGCCTCTGCATCACCCTCTCATGCCTCAAAAGCCCTGCCTTCCAGCGTACCACTGTGAAATGCAGACCAGCTGCACTTTGTTAGACCCTCCAGATCAACGACTCACACGGGTGCTCCCTAGTTCTGCTAGGAATAGATGGAGGGTTTATTGTATCGGGGTTGCAAGGCACATGGGAAATAAGGTAGAAATCAGTTTCCCAACTTCCAAACCTGGGAAGTTTGGGAGGATGGAATCTCAAAGTTGGGCTGTTGGGGAGAGACAATCTTTTTAATGGAAATTGAACTAAGAGCAAAAACTCTTCTTCCCCCCCCCCACCTTTTTGGGGGTGATATCTTGGACCAAATTACAGTTTCTGAGAGAGAGGTTAGACATGCTTTTGGGGATACATTTTTTTCAGGCCACAACAACATTCTAACCTGGCTGCAATAATTACTTTTTACTTTTCTTACCTTTCACAGAATCTGCACCTGAGTAATCACGCCATTAATGCCTAACATCTAGCAAAACCTAAGGGGGAAGGAGAGGGGAATGGAAGAGGAAGAAGAATTTGAATTCCTAGGAAGTGCAAGGGAGTGAAGCCTGGCAAGTCAGAAAGTACAGAATAACTTTCAGGGCTGAGAGGGAGAAGGACAGAGGCACACCAGGAACTGGAACTGAAGAGTCTACCTGTTGCTGTCTACAGTAGAGGTTCGTGGTGGACAAGGAGGCAATGGAAAAGAACAAGGAGATAGAGGCAGCTTTTGGAGATCATAAAAGTTTCTCTGGAAAACATATTCCATCAGAGCTCCTCTGTTGGACCAGTACAACAGCCTCAAGCAAGTTGAACCAGATCATGGCTGCAGATTCTCAAGAAACCCACAAATGTGACTGCGGAAGTGTTTTCTGTGAGCCTAAGTTTGAGTGCTCCAAACCTAGAGGGTTTCTGCCATTGTTTTTCAGCCTTCGTGAGTCCTGGAGAATGACAAGGCCTCAAGCAACCCATGACTATACTTTAAGGCTGAAAACTGTGTGTACTTTCTTTCTTTGGGATGGTTTGAACCGATAATTTTAAACAAGTATTTTTTCCTTTTTTAGTTGTAGTTTTACTGTGTGTACTTTTGCACAGTTTCTCACAGCAATAATTATATGCTTTTGCACTTGAACTTTGTAGAAATTAAGTAGTTTCATTCAACTGTAATTTTGAAAATAAAAATTGCATAAATTCTATAAAAGTACATGTTGAGGCATGAAAATTAAATTTAAAATAGAACAATGAACCTTTGACCCCAGTACTTTTTCTTGCCATGGCAGGGGGTTGTACTTGATGATCTGCTCAGGTCCCTTCCGATCCTACCAACTATTAAACTAGACCAGGCTTGTCCAACATATGGCCCATGGGCTGCCACGCAGCCCGCCAGGCTGTTTTCTATGGCCCAAGGTGCTGCAATGGGAAACTAAAGTAAACGCTGTTTACTTTCGTTCCCACCCCTTGTCCTTCCCCCAGCACCTCAGCAGCTTCCTAATGGCTGCTGAAAGGCTGGGGAAGGGAGAAGGTTCCCACATGCACTGTGTCAGCTTGACATTGCTGACGTGGTGTGGCTCCTCCCCCTCTCCATTTCATGGTGTCCCTTTCTAGCCCCGCCCTTCCTCATTTGCATGCCGACCCTGCCCTGCGCCAGTCCTCGCCAGCCGTGTGGACTGGAGCAGGTCGCGGTGCGGCGGGTGGGTGTGGATGCTGGCTCAGAGGGATGCTGTGGCCAGGCCCGCTGGAGATGCTGCTGTGGCTGTGGTTGTCGGGGTGGGAAGCTGGCACTGCTCCCGCCTCCCCGCATCCCCCTGCGCCTGCAGACATCACACTGGGGGTGGTGAGTCATGGGCCCCAGGGAGGGAGGGAGGCCTGCTAGTTGGGCTAGGGCTGCCCTGGGGGAGAGGGAGCAGGGAGGTTCCCTGCACGTCCTGCACCCACCTGTAGGGTCCCTGCTTGTCCCCCTGGCTGCTGAGCCCAGGCGTGCAGGTATGGGAGCATCCTCGAGGCTGGCTAGGTGGTAGGGAGCACACGGCAGGGTCAGGCAGTGCCCTTTGACCCCTGCACCCCCAGGCGCGGCTGGACTGGGCAGGCTGCATGAGCGCCTGCTCCTGCTGGCCCACTGGATGATAAAAAGTTCATGATCTGGCCCCACATTCAAAAAGGTTGGACACCCCTGCTCTGGACCTCACTCACTGTGACACCTTAGAATATAATCATACCTCATATAGTGAAAGTAACTCAACATATTTTTCATGAAATATCAATGAAAAATTACACAAAGCAAAAGAAAAACATAACTATATCTAGAAACTGAGTTTCGAATAAAAAATCTGTGCATTTGGTCCAACGATGCAGGTAATCTATCACTTTGAAGAGCATGGCTTGCTGGCTACTGATAAAATCTGAGCCTTTGCCTCCCAATCCTTGGTGGGCTTTGCATTCATAGGTGTGCAACACAGTATATAGCTGTAATATAGGGCTGGTATTGCTAAGTAGCCTCTAGCCTTATCATGAAATAATGACCTCTTTTCATCAGTCTTTCAAGTGCTGTCATCTGCAGTTGCTCAGATGATAGTTCTTTTTTACGATCCTATTGTCCAGTAAAGGCTTCATCAGCCAGGTCAGGAGGGGATGAACTGGGTTTTCAGAAAAATGAAGCATTTCTAAGCCATCCATGTCCATAATGGTGCCTATAGAAGTAAATTAATTAAATCAAAGGTTAGAATTCCTGAAGATGAGGATCATGAGTTTTTCCAAATTTCTTTGGCTTAATGGTGAACCTGCTGCGGTGATCAACTAAATTTGGAATACAAAGAAGTACTTTTTTAGTGAAAGCCATGGCTGGGGGCATGGAGAAATGGCAAAAGAGAAATGTATCAGTTTTCCCCAATGAAGTTTGGGAACCCTCTAAACTCAAAGTCATAAAAAGTCACTTCAGGCTAGCATGTCTTTTATAATACAGATTGACAATACATCTGTGGGGTCTGACTGCTTATATCAAATTGATTAGTTACTAATTATCTGGTTAGCACTCACATTTGAGGAGTTTTCAAATAGCAATGACCACACATTTTGAATACTCAGGGAGTTATGGTGTCGATGTGCCACCACTGCAGATCTGGGTTAAATTTTGCACAGGTCTACACAAAAGAGCCTATGGCATCCTGAAATTCTGCAGCCAGTTCTGAGTATTCCAGCTCTGCAGAACAGTTCTTTCCGATCAATATGTGTTCGATAAACCCAGACATGATTCTGCACCAAGTGAAGCTAATATAAGGAAGGTTTTTTCGGACATAGCTGATGTATATCTTAATCCTATTTCTTTTTTTCCCCCCCATGTCCTCCCAGTGAAAGCACTGGTAGCTACACCTGGTTGTGTTGAAACCATTGCAGAAGATGGTTAGTGCAGTGTCCTGGCTGATGCTGTGTATTTGTGATGAACAGCATAAGGAGCTAGGGTACTCTTATTGGTACCAGCTAGTAGCAGTATGAACGTGGTTTTGGCTAGCCGAAGAGGAGATGGATCATGGTAATGTGGGAGAAGAATCATGTTGGGGCCAGGTTGTTTATTTTTTCTGGGTGGCTTCTGTTACTTTGTCACGATGCATATATATGGGCTTAATATGGGGGAAACAGTGACTTGCTGTACAATTAGCCAGCTGGCTGAGGATGGGCAGACTTGCTATGTATCATATAGCATGCAACAGTTAGTACTCTTCCCTTCATCTCTAACCTCCATGTAGACAGGAGTTGAGCAAAGAAAAACTTTTCTGGTGTGTGGTTTATAGCCTCTTGCTCAGAATCCTCAGTCTTGGGACATTTGTTGAAAGTGGATGTGATAACAGGATAGACTCTGCAGATATGGGGTTTCATCCGTAGTCTGTGGAAGAAACTGAAGCTACATCATGACTCACACGATATATGTTTACAAAATATATTTTTCAGATACTGTAATAGTATTAGACTTTGGCAGAATTGCACTATCTCCAAACAGACAACACTTACTGCCCCATTAATGCAGAAACCCAGACAAAAAATTGAGAGCAAAAGAACAAATAGTGGGAAGACTAGGTAAAAGAGATGCAAAAGTTTATCCTCAACCATGATATGCATAGTTTCTTCAGTACAATCGAAGCTATCTGTGGGCCAAGCACATGAGGAGCTGTCCCTCCTGAGGCCCAAAGGTGGAACAGTATTCTTTAAAGACAGTTCCACCATCAATGCAAAATGGAAGGAACACTTGCAAGAGCTTCTGGACCAAGATTATAATGTCAAAGATAATACCATCAAAGCCATTCCACAACACCCCATTAATGACTACCTTGCAGACCCACCAACCTATCAAGAGGCCTTGAAAGTCACTGGGCAGATGAAAAGCAACTAAGCATGTATGTTTTGATGGAATACTAGCTGAAATTTATAAACACAGTAGAAAAAAGCTCTCACCAACTAAATGCTGTTATTCTGAAAATCTTTCAACATCAACAGATTCCTCATGACTTGAGAGATGCTAGAATTGTAACCGTATTCCAGAAAGGAGATAGATGAGATTGAAACTATTACTGTGGCATTGCACTCCTGTCCATAGCTAGGAAGATCCTTACCTGTGTTCACCTCAATGGAGTCACCCCCCTACCTGAGCCCCAGTGTGGTTTCAGACCATCCAGAGGTACAATAGACATAATATTGGTTGCTAGACAGCTGCAGGAGAAGTGCTGGAAGCAACACTGAGATCTTTACATGGCCTTCATTGATCTCACTAACGCCTTTGATTCAATCAATAAAGGCTCCGTGGATGATCCTGATGAGATTTGGATGCCCACCAAAATTTGTTGCCATCGTCAGATTTGTTCGTGACGACATGACAGCAGCAATTCTAAGCCCTGGATCAAAAACAGACCCTCTCACTGTTAGAACTGGAGTCAAGTAAGTATTCATGATTACATCAACACTTTTTTCCATCTGTATTGCAGCTATTCATTGCTGGTAGACTTCCATCCACGGTCAGCATCTAGTATCACATAGATGGGAATCTCATTGATATCCACTGGTTACATTCTAAATCCAAGATAACTAACATCTCCATTACCATCTTCAGTATGTTAATGATTGTGTTGTGTGTACTTAATCAAAGAGCTCCAGGTCACTCTCGACTGCTTCTGTGAAGTGTATGAAATTCTTCAACTTAGGGTTGGCAAGCCAGTCAACTGACTGTGTATTGTTTTCACTGGTCAAAGATTATAGCAATTTTACACAAAATCTAATTTTTTATAGTTTTCTTGACAGAAATATGATATTTTATTGTTTTTTTGATACAATGGAAAATTTATGCTTTTTCTGTGTATTATTTGGACCTGTTGGTAATTTTTTACAATTTTTGACTAATATTTGACCAGTCAATTGACCAAACTTTATTTAACTGTTCCAATACCAAATCCTGCTTTAACTCACCATCAACTTGACAAAAACCAAGATACTTTCCAGCCTACTCTAACCAACCAGCTGCTGCCCCACCTATTACAGTTAGAGTCTCATAGTTTCATAGTTCCATAGTTAGTAGTGTCGGAAGGGACCTGAGCAGATCATCAAGTGTGACCCCCTGCCATGGCAGGAAAGAGTACTGGGGTCAAATGACCCCAGCAAGGTGATTGTCAAGCCTTGTCTTAAAGACCCCCAGGGTAGGAGCCAGCACCACTTTGCTTGGAGTCCTTGGAGAATATGGGGTGTTTCCCCTACCTAGGTAGTCACCTTTCCCAAAAGGTAATAATAGAAGATGATATTGAACACTGAATAAAATATGCAAGTGCCTTTGGATGTCTCCAAAATTGTGTCTTCAATGATTGTGATATCAAGACCCAAACCAAAATGTCTTATCTACCAGGCTGGTGTTGTCCAGTGTGAAACCCGGACAATTTATCAGAAACACTTGAAGGGCTTGGAATGTTACTATCAATGATGTCTTCAGAAAATCCCCTGCATCAGAAGGACAGAAGAATGAATGCCAGCATTTGACTCGAGCAAACACCACCAGCACTGACACCATGTTTATATGGCAGTAGCTCTGTTGGGTAGGACATATCATAAGGATGTCAACCAGCTCCTGAAATAGGTCCTAGCTCACCCACGGTCACTGCTTTAGGGGTGGGAGAGATTCAAAGGCACCTAGAAAGGCAATCTGAAGATATGCAATATTAAAATCAGTATCTGGGAGGCTCAAGCATGGAATAGCCCCCCGGTGGCACTATGATGTATGGCAAGGCATTGACCATTTTGAGCAAACTATGGGACCATTCACCTCACTATGGGAAGTGAGTAAGTGAGAGATGAAGGGAAAGAGCTGTGACCCAACAGTACCAGGATCCACTCCTTCCTTCTGGAACTCTATGCCACATTTGCATTTGAACATGTGGATCTTGGATTGGCTTCTTGAGTCATCACTACCTTACTGATGATTGACTGCCCCATCTAGGGGAAGACAGTCATCCTTGTATTGAAGGACTGCCAACGATAGCCTCTTGCTCAGAATCTGCCACCTTTGGACATCTGTTGAAAGTGGATGTGGAGACGGGATAGTTTGAGCAGATCTGGAGTTTCAAATGTAGTCCATGGAAGAAAGTAGTGAAGGATTGTTCTGTGAGACTTGTCTGAAAAGCTGATGCTACATTATGACTCAGTTCACAAAATATATTTTTCAGAATATTAAATTTTAGACTCATCTGTGGGACTTTAATTTCAGCTGATGGGCGAGCAAAGGCCCTTGTAGTTGCAGTCATCTTCCTGGCTGCCTTCAGTAACATAACCTTTCCTACTCTCTGACTTGAACTAATTCCCAAGAAGCCTGTGTGAGTAGTTCCTTTACTAAATGGATCAAAAAACTTCAAGAATTCTTAGATCAGTGGCAAATTCTTTTAACAGGGACAAAAATATAAAGTTGTTGATAGTTCCAGTCTCTTCTGAACCAAAAGATATTTCAGGCTAAAGATCATCTCGAGTAAAAGGAACACTGTTTGCTTAAAACTCACAGTTCTCTCAGAAAAAAAGTTTTTAGCTACTATTGTGACAGTGTCTCAGATTGCTAATATAGGAAGAAGTTCGAGGAAAAACACTTTTTTCCGGTTTGTCTACGGTGAGAATTTGATGTCATGTATGTTCTGTATAGTTTTATCACAGTCGTGAGGGAAAGACACTAAAAAATAGAAAAATGTAGTACCGAAGAAATTTGACAGTGGCTCTTAGAAGCAGTACTTTGTACTAGAGTACAAGCAGTACATTGTACAGGAAATTCCTTTAACTATTTTTTTAAAGATCAAATTTAAAGCTGACTGTGTTCCCTTTTAATAAATTTACAGCCCTTCAGTCTGTTATTACTCAAATTTGGTAAAAAAAAAAAAAAAAAACCAAACTGAATTTCCAAAAAAATTTCCCCCGGGGAAAATTTTTTGGGAATTTCTTTTTTTTTTTTTTTTTTTCAAAATTTGTAAAAAAAAAAAAAAAAAACCAAACTGAATTTCCAAAAAAATTTCCCCCGGGGAAAATTTTTTGGGAATTTCTTTTTTTTTTTTTTTTTTTCAAAATTTGTAAAAAAAAAAAAAAAAAACCAAACTGAATTTCCATAAAGATTTCCCCAGTGGTAAATGTTTCATGTGAAGCAGAAACATGCAGTTTATTCAGTTCATTTTGAAAGTGCTTATATTTATGCTTGGGCCATTCTTATTATGAATAAGAGTAAATCAAAATACATCAATTGCCTCAGACTCACAGTGACACTGTTCCATAATATGTGCACTATTTCATAAGTTTACTAGTTGTTCTCATCTTAAAGTTGACTTTGTTTTTCAACTGTATGTAAACTGAGTAGGAAGTTTCATAGTTTGTGTGGTATGTGAAAGTTTTGATTCAGATACTTAAGGAATCGTATGCTTAATTTGACCTGTAAAGCATAGGACTTCTTTTTTTTCTTATGCAGTTAGTGATTTGGTTTTAGGCATATTTGTAGAAATTAAAGCCAGACATGAAGAAATTAGTGTCCGAAATAATAATAGATTTTTTTTAATTAAAAAAAATTAATTCACACCCTTTGTTTGAGCCTTCAAAGTTATAGTTTGCCTTTCACATATTGGAAAATACTATTTTCAGCTACAAGATTTTATAAATATATTTAAAAATTGTTTGCATTTAACATTTACCCAATATTTTATACGTATTCACATACAACTTTTGTTTGCCTATCAAGTTCCTGGAAAATTTTAAGTATGCAGGGGTGAGTGTATTGCGGCCTTTTCTTAAAATGCAGATTTGACCATGGTCAATAGCTACTTTTCATGCTTGGTCAACTGACTGTTATACTTATTTTCAGTAGGGGCTTAATTTTTAAGATTGTTTGGAAGCTTGGCTGGTGTCAGGTAGTTCAACTTAACATTGCTAGCTGTATATCATTTTTTTTATGGTCATAGTATATTGGATGCGACATCTGGAATCAGTGTTCCATTGTCTGTGAAATGCGTGTTCATGTAATGAAAAGACAGGCCCTGTCTCAAGACTACAGTGCAGGTGTATGTTAAGTGGATAGAAAGGAGCAGTGGAGTTTAAAAGGACAGTGATGTAATTAATATAATAATGGCTGATCATGTAATTTCAGCCAGTATTTGAGTAAGATGCAGATCCTGATGTAGGTGTGCTCTTAGAGTAGGTTTACAGGAGAGTAATTCACTATCTATAGCCATATTTACACAAATACTTTTGTTTCTTTCATCTTTCCACCAGTGCATAAAAGACATCATGGAATTAAACATGAAGCTCCTAAAGGGAAATTGGACTGCTGGGTGATAAAGGCGCATCTTCAGTAAAATGCAAGTGAGAGGTGGAGATTAGGAGTTCATTTTAGCAATGTTGATAAAATGGTGGCTGTCCCCAAGGATATGTTGCAGGTTGAAATTTTAATTTTCACAGAAAAAGAGGTTAGGGTGAAGATATTAATGTGTGAGTTGTCAGCATAATGATGATAGCTAAAACCATGTTTTTAGATGCGAGAACTCTGTGATAGTATGTAGAAGGCTGAGAGGAGGAGGATAAACGCATTTAATCTTAATGTGTTTAAGAGTCCTCCTGGATCAGAATGTGATACATTTTTCTAAAATGGCATCGCTGGTAGTGGAGAATTGCAGGTACTTTTATTTATTTTTGGAATGCAAACATTTTCAGTTTGTACAATTTGTTATATATCTTGTGTTTAAGCTTTATGTACATGTGACTAGAGGGTTTTTTTACTGGTACATTTTTAAAAGCTACAGAAAACTATTCATTTAATCCCATTATGAGTGATGTGTGTGTTATCTGGAGAATACATGCACATGTAGTAGGGGTCTCTTTGTATTTTATTTATGTGATATTCTATCCATGAAGAGGGATGGACCGTGTGTAATAGCTTTGATTGGTATCTAGCTAGTTTGATTAAGTTGATAGCTCTTTTTTCCATAAAAAAAATATAGCCAATTTTCAAAGAATAAAATGACAGTTTTAGAGAACAAAAATTCAATTTCATTGATCCTGGTCAGTAAGGTATGTATTTCACATGCATTGCCATATTAACAAACTGCTAATATTATTTTAGTAAGTGATTGGAGAGGGACTGAAATATTTCCACTCGTGTCCGTAATCTTTTGGATCTTTACTTCGGAAAAATCCAAGAACCAAAGAATACCATGTGTGTAACTTCTTAAAAAACACATTTCAGTAAAATTGGGTTATACTGTAATGTGTATTGTAGAGATTTTATTTAGGTACATGAATTCTGCTGCTTTAGAGATGCACTTTCTGTGGGATTTATGCTTCTTTTTAGTTATATGCTTAGCAATGCAACAACATGAAAAAATACAGAATCTCGGCAAAATCACAAAGCTGGGACAAGTGAACGTGTATACTTGACAGTTAAAGTAACATCTTGAATTGGGGGGCCAGTTGTTCATTATAACTTGTCATTAAGTCCCACAGTTGACACTCCCAGCCTTCATGGGAAGAAAATTGTTCAAAGTGAAAATCTGGTGGATAGCTTACATTTGATTTCACTGTATTCATTCAGTATTGTATTTTCTGTGAAGTTGATCAGTTATTTTCAATTTTCAGTTTTTAACTTGCATTAATTCAAAGTACATTTGTGTTTTATTGTCACTGTGTAAGAATATTCTTCCTTTAAAATGTTTTTACAGCTTTGCCTATGGTTTACTAATATACACGTGAAATGTTACTTTCAGGTGCTGACCTTAAGGAACGAGCTAAAATGCATTCAAGCGAAGTTAGTTCTTTTGTCTCGAAAGCCAGAGCAGCTATTAATGAAATGGGTAAGTAAAATAAGCAGCCTTGTTGAACAGTGCACTCTTTAACCTTAACCTCTAAAGGGCAGATCAAAGAACTGACATAAACATATATGATTAATTCTTGCTATGTGATGAGATATCCAAAACTGGTTCTATCTGTAAAATAATGAGTCACTGGCATATTACACTTTTAAAACGTGCACGGTAGCATTTGGCTTTTCCTTAGCATATTTTAAGATAGATGTATTTCAGTCTCCAAAACAGCGTGAGTTTTGAAATCATGTTTTGGGAGGGGTGGGGGGAGAGAGTGGCTGTTTTGTACCCTCTGTGTGCTATGGGTTTGTTTTTACTGATCCTTTCTTAGTTGGCTATAAATTGATACAGTATTTGATATACCTTATTAAGGTTTAAACATTGCTGTTGATAGAAAATGTGTTTTTTATGGCATCATAAAATTTCATTACATTTTATATATTCTTTATTGCGTAGTGAGGTAGGTCGCTCTGTTAGTCTGAATTTAGGCAGGACAGTGTAGCACCTAACTTGTTCAGGCATGAACTTTTGTCAGCTACCTCCTACTTCGTTAGATGCTATGAATGGACTTGCAGTCTCAGCAGTGCTGTTTCCTTTCCTTCCCCTTTCCATATCCTTTGAATTTAAATTACCTTATTCCTTTCTATTTTATTGTAGTGGGACTTGCTACTGTTAATACAGTTTGGATTGGCAGTCCATTTTATATTTTTCTTTTAGACCTTAATAATTTTGCCTATGAATTTGAGATTTCCATTACATTTCCATGAAAATATCGAATTTTTTTAGGAAAACTAAGGAAGCTGCTGATAGGATTCTGTGTAGGGACACTATCAATAGGATTCTGTTAAAAGAAGGGGAAATCATCTCTGAAATAATCCTTTTTGTAAGTTTAAAATGCAAAAATGACTGATTTGTAGGGGTGTAATTTTTACAGTAATTGATGACCCAGAAACATTCTTTAAAATGTTACTCTTTTAAAAAAAATGTAGTTCTGCAGTGTTCCTGCTGGATTAAGTAGTTTGGATAGGTGTTCTTTTGCAGCAATATCAGAAAGCTTTTGAAGACAGTGTAATTAATCACAGTTTACACTGATGAGAGTTAGAGGTAATTTTAGTCCTGATGTACCAAATTATGCCATGCCATGGAATGTATAATCAGAGTAGATTTTGCCCCATAGAATGTTAGTGTTAATCCTGGAGAAATAGGGCTAAAACTTTTTTTAAGTGTTTAAAATGAATGAAATTTTAATGTTAATTACTTCTAGTGGAGTAAATAACTTTTTAAAGAAATAGTTGTACATACATTTCTCTGTTAAAATTGGGTCAGCTTTGTAACTTGGATTGAGAGAATAATAAAGATGGAAGCAAAATATGATGTTAAGTAAATTTCAGACTATTTAAAAATACAGGTTTCCCTTGCCAACAATGGTTTTGAGTATCCATGCTTCAGAGAAGGGGGGAGGTACAGTTGGAAAATAATCCTCATGGCCCCCCTACCCTTGCTTGTACCTCTCACTCCTCCCCCCACAGCCTTGCCTGGTGCCCCTTGCTCCTCACTCACAGCCCCTGCTCCCCCCAGCCCTGCTGGTTTTACCAACCACGGGAACTTTGAGGAACCTAACCCCCGTGGTTGGCTAGGGAAACCTGTAGTCTTAATATGGAAGTTCATGGTGTTCAGTTTCTGATTTCCTCCTACCTCCCTGTGAAGTAAGCCAAATCTCTAAGGCTTTTAAAATATGCAATAAAGCAACAATTTTTTCTGACGTTAATTTTCTGCAGAAGATAGTTCATTAAGTGCTAGTGCCCATCTTTTCCTTGCAATATAAGAAGAAGGACTCCAGTAAGATTTTTAGAAGACTTTCTTTGGTTCTAATATGTCACTTTATTCAGCCTTCTGGAACTGGAGGCATTTAAAATGCTTTTATTGTGACTCCACTAATGTGTATATAGTCAATTTAAAGATTTCTTAGGTATTTCATCTTAAAATTATTCCAGTCACTTGAGCAGTGAATTTTGTTGCCATGTGGTATTTTGGCATGTGTCAGTTTTACCTGGAAAATAACGGCAAACGATTGGTCAGGATTGGAAAATACCAGAACATCTTCGACATAGAAAACTGTTCACTAGTTTTCATGCTATTTATATTTGGCATGATATTTTCTTGTTTAATCATTTCATATAATATATTAATTAAAAACTTTGATGTTGTTATTTTTGAGCACAGAATGTTCACTGTACGTATCATGTCAGGATTAAATAACTCTTATGCTAAAAAACTTCTACAGCTGTTTGCACCTTGTTCCTTTTCTTCATCATGAAACTGATGAATATATATACATGTAAAAATGCACTTAAAAATGGGAGGTCAATGTAATGCATGTGGTGCAAGATATATATTGCCTTTACCAATAGAAGTATGTATTAATTTTTTAACAAGTCAGGAGTTTTTCAGTTCTTCTTTTCTTCTTCTGAAGAAGTAGTCTAGCATTACAAGAACTAATTTTAGTAGAACAAGTGGGACACTACATTTGCATTGGATTCCTGGCAGTGAATCAGTATATTGAAAACAAGAAGATCAAGAATTTTTTTCCTGCCCAGCAAGTACCAGAATGTCGAGACATTTAGGGGTGGAAAAGTCCTCCTGCAACTATTTGTTTGTCATTGTCCAAATGCTATAGAAACAAGCAGCACACTTTCTGTTTTGTCCTTTTGTGTCTAATGTTGTTGTTGAAAATCTTTCAAATATACACTATTTTTTCCTCTTCAGAAATAGGTCATGTTACGATAACTGTATTTATACATGCCTTTACTAGAAAGGGGGGAGAGAGAGCGAGCTCTGTTTAAAGGTAGGACAGAGGTTCTCAACCTTTTAGGACTCAGGGCACTCCTTTATACTTTCAAGACAGCCCTGGCTAGATTCAAGACACCCCCTTAGAAAATCTTAGCTCTTAGTTTTCACTTCATTTTTTATTACATGAAAATAATAGAGCAATTCTTCTGTGTAACAGAACTCAGAAAGACCACAACAGGTCAGCATTTTTTAACAATATGGTTCCTATTTGAAATCTCTGGGTTTAGTTTATGAATCATGTTTGCATACCCAATAGTGCTAATATTATGGCACCCTGCAGCACCCTTGAAAGGATCTTAAGGCATGCCCATGGTGCCGCAGCACCTTGGTTGAGAGTCATTTCTATAAGAGAAGTATTTAGTTAACTGTGTAGGTAGTATTTGTGAAAAGTAAATGTGTTAGGATTTGAATAACTGTTGAAAAGCAGCCATTTATAATGATTATGCCACCTTTTTGTAGTTTTTATTATATTTTTAAATTCTTATATGAACTGTTAAGAGTTTTCTTCAAAAAAGGGTGCTGCATTTTTTGATATGCAACTACAGAAAAGAATTTTCTAGAAATTAAAAGCACACAGCATTTGTTTGCTACAGTTTTTATGTGGGATTAATTTACAACTTCACGCTAAATTTGGGTGAAGTATTAAGACTGCACTAAATATCACTTGGTATAAAAATAAGCACTTGAAAACAGAGCTGAAGAAATTGTACTGAGTTATTAGTTGTAGCTCAGAGAGTTTAGAGATGAGAAGCAAAATCAAAGCAAGCTACTATTTTTAGAAGCAGCTGCTTTTGCTAAAATTATGGTTGAGTTGTGTGGGTTTCTTCTTAATAAAGCGGGAACATAAGACTAATTGTCCATTACTATATTCTACCTTGAGTTTCTTCATTACTGACGGAAGATTGGTTTTAGACTGAAATTGGAGAGGAAAATATTAAAAATCTATTCTGTTCTATGTAGTTTCAGACTTAAATTAAATCAAAGCCTCATTGACATGCACACAATTCACTTGCTAGACTGTTTGGAAATAAATCATACCACCTTAGGTCAGATTCCCAGTACATTTAAAATGCTGTACTTCAGAGTCAGTTGATAGTTCCACGTCTGTTTTCATAAGCTAAGTGTCTGGCACTTTGTGCTTGCGTGTAGTATTTAATCCAGTTGCAAAACAAATTCTAGTCATCTTCAGGGTGGCAGAGTAACTGTTCTTTACCAATAAAACAGATGTTTAAAAAAACTGAACTGACAGCAAGAATTCAAACTAGGCAGTATGGGACTTCATTTCAGAAGTCTTTTTTTCTTTTAGTCTCCAATATATACTCCAAAAAAGGGAGAGTGTTCCAAATTGAAGTCATCAGTTCCTGGCAAGACATCAGCTCTCACCCGCTAACAGTTGGTTACAAGTTGCCCCTGACTTCTGCTCTACTGGCCATCAATGGCCATCGTTCCATAACCGATGAAACTGAATGGTACAACCACCAAAACAGAAGGTCCAGCCTGGGCAAGGTGAGATGCCATGTCTTGATTCAGTATTTTAGGTGTAGGGCTCTTGCTAGAGCCTTGACTGAAGATTAGAAGATTTACTTTCATGGTGATAATTTTCAGGGACAGTATTGCTATCTGCCTTCCCCAAAGTATACTGTATTTTTTCTCACACTGCACATCCCAGATGACACACACCTTTGTTTTGGGAAGGCAGAATGAAGAAGAAAAGATTTTTGAATGCTGACCACAGGGGAGTATGACTGCAGTGGCTGTGGCTGCAGGAAGATTAACACTGTAGCTCTGACCCTGAAGGGTGAACTTTGCCCTCTCCCTTCCTGAGACAGAAAGGGAGAAGTATGGCAGCCATTTTGCTGCAATATCTCCATGCTTCTCTTCTCCTATGCTGTAATTCCAGTGAAAAATAAAAAAGCTTCCCCACTTAAAATGCACCAGAATTTTGGTGGGCTGATTTTTAGGAAAAGGGTATGTGTAGTATGAGAGTAAATCCAGTATCTCTTTCCCTCTCTGGCACAGGTAACATCTGTTTAGCTGAACTCTTTTCTTTTTTGAGTGGACTTTGTTATAGAATTGGCCAGTAGAGAATTGGCAGTTTGAATCCTGGCTTTGACATTCACTTTTTCATGGGAGGGTTGCTT